GGTGAAAAATTTCTTGCCTGTCGTATTACCGTTCGTCAAAATCCGTGTCTTTATTGCTGTATTTTTTGTGGAATTAAAAATGCATTTTTTAGTTTTTTTTTTTTTTCTTTTGCCTCTACTTTCACTATTTCAGTATCGTTGGAAGTTATTTTCCGGTGCATTAGTGTGTTAGTTTGATGAATATATGGTTGTTGAACTGCCGCGCTATGTTCGAATCAGAAACACTGTTGCCGATGCAGATTCTTTGAACTATACAGTTGAAGAAGATGAAATTGTCCTGTTAGAAACGATTAAAGATGATGAATGGTAAATTTAAATTTTTAAAATCATTCTTATCAATCTCTTTTTTGTCTTCTTTAAAGTAGTGATTTCTCAGTTTTGTTTTATTTCTGTTACCTATTTATTTCGCTTGCAATTATACCATTCAGATATTATTATGCCAAAAAAACTGAGAATTTACCGTCATTTGTCTTTCCTGTAACTTACAGAGCAGAGGAGAAAGGAGAACAAAAGTTGAATGTTGTTTATATTTGCTTTCTGCCATAGTTGTTCAAGTATTTATCTCATCGCAGTACCGTTAATATCAACACATCTCTATATTTCATAATTAGAAGCAATTTTTACGTTTTTTTCAGTAATAAGCCACTTGTTATTTGTTAAATGAAGCAACATTTTTTGCTGTAGCATTTTGTAGTTGTCAGTGACTTAATCATCTACTTCTGCGAGAACATGAATTTTGATATATCAATATGAGCTAAATGATTGTTTTCTTCAGACCTGTAATGCCATTAAAAAGGCTGCTTTGATCGTTCTGTTGTATTGTGCAGTTCTTTCATTCAGCTTTGTTCCTTCTTTGATCTAAAATCATGAAGCAAAAATTTTCTAAGGAAAAGACGTTATTTTGAGTATCTTTAAAGCGTCTTCACCGTGTACGCGCTTACTGTTTAACTGCAATCAGTCTTTCTCCTCTTCCTTGTTTTCCTCATAGCCGTCTTCTTTCCGCATTAAACATGAGTTATTTCGGCGAGAAGTAGAACAAGGTATATTTTTATGTATTAACTTTTGAAGTAACACATTTAGTCAAGAAATGTTAGCGGAAATGAGAAGCAAGGCAAGAAAAAAAAATGAAGGAAAAAAGAGCGTTTAACGAAGAAAATATTACATTCAAAAAAATTACCGGTTAAACTTACTGCAGAACTTTGCATTTTTTGTACAAATAGACTTTATGGATTAGCATCAAATTGACTAATCACCAAGTCATTGGTAATTTACTTTGTCGTAGTAGCCAAATTGTGGCTAATGTACTTTTCTTCTCTGCTTGATTTATAAATAATTTTAAAACCGATATACCTTTGTTTTCTAGACTATGGCGCCTTTAGGATTTCCATGTAAAAAAAAAAAAAAAGTTGCGAAGTTGCTAAGATTCATCTGGTAGGATAAACGCATGTTTTTGTAGGAGATTTGCAGTGACAGCTTTTGAATACTTGGGATAATGGCAGGAGAAAGAATACAGTTGAACGGCATAAAATCCCAGTAGAACAATGTGTTTGGTGAGGAGGTGCGTTTGGTTCCTGAAATAGCGTAATACGTATAGGCAGTGGTTTGATTTTTTCATTGCTTGTAATTTTTCCCCCTTCTTCAAACTAGCAATTTTGACACCACTTCCTGGTAAAAGTGGATTCAGTTTTTCAGAGTTTTACATAAAGCTCAAACCTGTTGAGCATTTTCAAAATTTTTTCTGAAGCTTATTAAACTTTAGCTGTTGCGTAATTGAAGATAAAATTTATGCCTCATATCTATTTCTCTTGCAAATTGAAGCACCTTTGGACTTGGTAGAATATTTGATTTTGGTCAAGAAAGCTGACAGTAATTAAAATATGCGAAACCATAAATGTTCAAAAGTGTTGAACAGTAGTTTTAGTGTAAATATGGGGTGCCAGTAAGGACTTAACTGGCAGGAGCTTGTAGAACATAATTTGAGCCCGCGTCATTTGTCAATTTTTTATTAGTAATAGTTGAAAGATGTTAACTAAATTGTTTCTAAATGGTTTCTTTCATAGTTTCCGCGCAATTTACAGTGATCACCAATTTCTTTACACAGTTTGGTAATACCTTTATTTAGTGGCAACTGTGTTACAAACGTGATTTTTTAAAGGTGAGGAAGTTTCCTATCTTAAGTAGTTTCTCATTAGTCTGCTCTGTTTTCACTTCATTCAGTATACTCAAGATTATTTACCTAGCTTTTGTTCATAATTATTTTCCTGTAAACTAGTGTGTATTTTGGTATTTTAGTTTAGTGAAAAATTTTTGCTTGTACCATACAACAAATCTGTACTGAAAAAAAGTTGATCTTTTGAAGGGGTACTTTTAGAAACCATTTTGGTGCCATTCTGTAATTTTCATCATTTAGTTAAAGGATTAATTTGCATAATTTTATGTTACAATTTACGATAGCGTTTTACACTGGCAAATGATTTCTCAACATTTCTGGGACGCTGACAAAGTTTATTGTTTTTTCAGAAGATGGTCATTTGAATGTTGTTTAGTCGTTACCTAATTTGCCGTATATAATAGCCTCCTTTTAAGTATAGGGCACCGGTATTTTTGATGGAAGATAGCAACTCAGCCTCCAACTTCGCTGTTATTTGGAGACGGCTGCACAACCCAGACTTCTATCTTCCCCTGTGTTGCAACCATTGTGCGCACAGTAGTTTTGAAATTCTGCTTGGTGCTAAATTCTCATACTTCGTTGTACAGCATAAATTTATACAAAAATCTCATTTCTAGAACACTTTAGTCAGTTAATTTTTGATGAAAAATTGCGAATTAAAGTTACAGTGATTTTGTTTGCCTAGAGCTTAAAAAATGGTAACAGTACGGTACTGTGAAACTAGGTAATTAAGGTTCAAAACCTTTTACGGAGTACTAAAAGTTCATTAATTTTTTGCAACATATAAATATGCATGACAATTGAAAATTTTTATTTCAAATTGAAATTGTTTATTCTGTATAGAACTTTTACTGACACTTTGTATATACAACATGAATAGCACTCATTCTTAGTATTCTTTGGAGTTTTTGAATACGAAAAAGTTTTTCTACTTTTTTTTTTTTTT